CTTTACCGCAGAGGAAATATCGCGAACTTCCAAATAACTCTGTCTCTCGGACACACGGGCTCCCGATCACGTACTTACGATTGATCGATCAAGAGTGACAATTTTTGCGCGCGATCGACGGTCGAAGGGCCGAGTCGCGCGATCATCGTCCTTGGAGGGGACGGTTTGACGAATCATGGTACGTTTTCGGCAGCGTCGCGTGCCCGGTGATTGGCTAAGACGCGCGAGCTGGACGAAAATCTTTCATCCCTTTCCTTGGTGTTCCTTTCTCCTTTCTATTTCGTCGTTATGATCACTTCAACGGTTTCGAAAACTACGCAGTATTTCTAGTTGAATTTACTAATTATTGTATTGCGGTAAAATTGCAACTATTAATCAGGTTAAAACTTATAGTATGAAATATAAGATGAAACATATAGTCTTTTAAGGATGAGGCCGTCACCCATATAATTTTACCTTAACAAAGATTAAAATTATTCGTTTTTCGATTTGCAACGAAGGTTATTATTTAATGTGGTTAATTACAGCGGACGATGCGCTTACGGTAGTTACAACGCCGTGACAAACTATACATTTGTTGAATCTATATTGCATATTTATTCAGATGGATTCGGCATCGCTTTCTAATGAATTTAAACAATTTTCGATCTAACGAACATTCCTTCCAGAACGTTCCTTTGTTCAAATTTGCCGTTAGGTCTTGTCGCCAGGCAATTCTTGGAATTTCCGATACAATAGTGTTTATTGCTTTGAACGACCCTTGATTTCGAACGGCGGTCGAACGTTCGCGACGTTCGCTTTCGTAAAGGTTCTCATTCCTTTCTCTCATTGTTCAAATACATTTACATTCGTCCACTCTTTCGTGCCATCACTTCGTTCGTATAATAATGATCCTTGTTGGACTGGCTGACGCTTTGTGCAGAAGAGAGAGAAAGAGCGCTCGACAAAAGAAGTTATTACGGTTTGCCCGTTTCGACGCAGTTAGCAGGGGAAATTCCGAAATGCGAAGCACTGGCTAACCGCGTAGCGCTGGTGTTATGCTAGGTCTCTATCTCTCTCGAGCTAAACTCGAGTTTCTGTGCGGTATTATAAACTGTATTCGGTTACTAAAGGTTTGAGCGACGATAGTTTCAAGGAGGGTCACGTAAACTATTGTAAACAAGGAAATAGAAACGACCTTTCCTCGTGTATCTTGCATGAGAAATCCTCGCAACCCCAGAGGGCTTGACAAGATACACGAGGTCAAGGTAGAGCAGGTTAAAGAAGAGAAAGCGATAGGAGAAGTAAAAAGTAGAAAAGCAATAAACTGAAACTCTCCCTTGTACATCCTTGCATGAGAAATTCTCGTAACCCGAAATGGCTTGACAAGAATACACAAGGTTGAGGAGGAATGGAAAGGATGGCGGAAAAGTGAAACACCCACCTCACGCCTCTTACATGAGAAATCCTCGTAACCCAAAAGGGCCTGATAAGGGACGCAAGGCGGATAAATTTTCAAATTTCCGCCGGGGCGTAACACAACCAAAATTTTTCTTCTTAAAAGAAATTGATGAAAATATTTTCATGTTTTCGCTGGTACCATTGAATTTCGTATCTATAAACGATCAATCATGTGTATGGAAAAACAATGTTTCAGGGTCAACTAGGTATTGTCGTCCCATAAAACTTATGTTTCAAAAAGAAACGGCCTCCCTAATATTTTCCGAAACGGAATCTCTGAATGAAGAAATCCGAACCCTGACTCCTACCAAAGTTAATGTTGAAAATGAGGAAATATCTATAACGCACAATTTGGCGTTAACTATGCTTGATGGTAAAGCTTGTAACGCATTGACAGGCACCAAGTCAACTCAGACTTGCTATATATGCAAAGCAACCCCTAAGGTATTTCAAGACCCAAATTTTTCACTTCCAGAAGACACCATAGAACATTACAGTTTTTGTTTGGCTACACTACATGGATGGATTAGGACTTTCGATTCCTCCTTAACATCGCGTACAGGTTAACATTAAACCCACCGAAAAAAACCTTGAAAACGGAAGAAGATTGCAATAAGTTTTCTTTGCAAAAATTAAAAATTCAAAAAGAATTCAAAGACCGGTTAGGTCTCAACGTTGACCAACCAAAACAAGGGCTCGGCAACACCAATGATGGAAACATAGCCAGAAGATTTTTTAAGGATTCGGCTGTAAGTGCGTCAATAACTGGCTTAGATGAAGCCCTTATAAAGAGATTCAGAGTCATCCTCCAAAGTCTTTTTTCGGGCTTTGAAATCGATGTAAAAAAGTTTACTTTGATTTGTACCCCTGGTATGGGGTGACTCCCACGATTCATAAAATTTTCGACCACAGTGCCCAAATCATTGAAAATCAATGCGTTCCGATTGGGCAACTTACCGAAGAGGCTCAAGAAGCGAGGAACAAAAACTTCAGAAATTACAGAAAACGAAATACAAAAAAAAACTCAAGAATAGACACCAAGAGTGATTTGCTAACTATGTTATTAGTTTCATCTGACCCTGTTATTGCTTCATATTGGAAATCTGTAAAGAAAAATAAAATACCATTAGATTCGGATGTACTTTATTTATTAAAGTGCAGTGCTCCGCCATCCTAATTAAGCCTTGAGAAGTCAAGTGATGAATTTGAACTGTCAAGTGAAGAAGATGATTCGAGTGAAGAAGTTTTTTAATTTTCTTATTTTTATATAAATCATAAAATTCTTAATTTTTTAATTTTATAATTTAATATTTTATTTTTCATTTTAATGTTAATTTTATAATTTGGTATTTATTCCGTAAATAAATTACTTAACCCTATAACTGAGTTGAACCTTATAACTGAACTAAACTTAACCTAAATAAGTGAAAATACATCTATTATTATTATTATTATTATTTATAGGTTTACCCTGTTCTGAATGGTAAAACGGGATTTTAGAGTTTTGTCCACCTAGAAAGTGATTTTTGACCACTGTGCGCCGGTAGAAAGCAAGTTTTTCTTGAGCGATGGTACGTATAAAACATCATAACCCCATCTACATTTTACGGAGTGGGCCAAATAGTAATAAAGCAGAGGTCTGTATTTTATTCCTATCATGCTAACACGCATTCGTTAGACAACAACGGTCGTTTTGAGATTAGGTCGTTAGTCCGCCATTGGGATCGCGTTCATTACGCGATTTTGCGGCGAACCGAGTGGCATAAAATGGCCGGCGGTTGCGTGGCTGCCGTTTAAAGAAGCCCAGCGCTCTTTATAGTCCACTCTGGATATAGTAGCTCCCATAGCAACGTTAGCCGTTAACAGAGGCCATTTGTGCAACAGGACCATGTCTGTCTGGTATCTTGTTATCCCGTGAGATGCGAGCGCGGATATCTAATATTTCCACGACGCTCTCGGACTTGGGTTACAAAACTCGGAATGAGCTTCGCCGAGTTAGTGCCGACCTATGATATGCTATAATACTTCCAACTAAAACTCGCTACCGAGATAATTAAGAAGGCCGATGTATGGTCTACCTCTACCACTTCTGACGTCTCGTGGGATTTATTTTCTGTCTGTTCAAGATCTATAATAGCGCAGGGAAATATTGATAGCATATTCAGTACCGCCTTTGAAGGAGGGCGAAGTTGTCCCATCCACGAGGAGGCATGTACCCAAAGGCCCCTAAATCTATACTAACCCCATCGAGCCATTCGTTGTTGATCAATCTCTTTATAAGAATTTTACCGCGGCCTTGAATGTTCGCTTTTGTTTCGTCACTGAAGTAAACGTACTCGCCTCGGCAAGGCAAGAAATCGCGGAACCACTCTCGACGGCACGAAATATGGCGCGACGCACCACTATCCAAAATCCAAGAATCCCCGTCATGCAAACAAACGTTTTTCTAACCGGCTTCCAAAGAGCTCGGGTTAACAGCGACGAAATCTTCGCTATTTCCGGAAACTACAAGCGCGGTGAAGTTCGTGAAATTTTGGTTACTTTTTTGATGGTTGTCGCCGTTATTGGAGTTTTTATTCGCGCTTTTAGATCGCTTTATAGCATAACAGAAACGCGCGAGGTGACCGCTTTTTTTACAAAAATTACACGTTATATGTTTCTTACGCTGATCTACGTTGTCATCGCTGGGTCGACGGTCATTTTTATGCTGCTTGGAGATGCTAACGGTGGCAAGGGCGCTGTCCACGGTGACCATCGCTGTCATTCGGTTTTCTTCTTGCAGCAATCTTTCCCTCAAATTGGTCAGCGTTTGGTTGGCTTCGGCGACGTTCTCCCATGCAGTGACGAATGCGTTGTATTTGGCCGGCAGCGTGCTCAACATCTTTGCCATAATCATTGTGTTCGACACGGTTTCATCGATGTCCTTTAATTGATGGGCGAGATTCTCGACCTTGGCCAAGTGTTGCGGTATAGAGCCCCCAGGTGTCATACGATATTCATGAAATTTCATAGTAAGCGCCAGCTTGTTTGACGCACTTTTTTGTTCGTGAATACCGGAAAGTTTGTCCCACATTTCATGCGCACTGAGACACGTTACAAGATACTCTAACTGGTTGTATTCCATGGACGCGGATAGAAAAAACATGGCTTTCGCGTCTTTTTTGGCCCACGCGGTCCTTTGCGCCGCGTTTTCATTTGTAGCCGGCGCTGGCTTTGTCTTTCTTCCTTCCACGTTGTCCAGGATATCGTGGGCGATAAAAATGGTTCGCATCTGGAACTTCCAGAGTTGATAGTTCTGTCCGTTGAATTTTGAGATGTTTCTCAAATCCGACGTGTCCGCCATTGTTCGTCTATCACTCGAAAGAAGCTTCTCGAAAACAGGCACGCGAAACACGTTACGCAGAAAAAGAAAACTTTCGCGATTATTGTCGGCACTGACCAAAACAAAAGTTCAAGCACTCTGGGCCCATAACCTGTTAAAGGCGAGGGTTGGACGAAATAATGCACGACAGTTCAAGAAAGGTAGTTTAATCACCAGAAATTTAATAATGGTTGTCTGCGACGCACATGTCCGGCGAAAGCGATCGAGAGACAATAATAAAACAAAAGTGCGCTAGCAGCGCTCGCTACGGTGCGACACACAGCGCCTCCCCCTTTCCTGTTTCTTAGCAGAATCCGGCGGTGACGTAGAACGCGCCAAGTATGAACACGCGTATTAATTTGTCGGTCCAACAATTATGCTTACCATTATTTATTGTTTTTCCTTCTTGGATCTATCCTCAGCTAATTATTTGACTTATAACTAGATATTAACTAGATCTTCTTTTGTGGAGGTATGGTATTCTTTCATGATAGGTTGGTAAAATTTTCTGAAATTTCAATAATTTGTCTTGTTACTGATTCTGGCCTGTTCGGTTTATTATTTGCTTATCTTTAAGTATACCTGTTCATTGCAAGGTGGTTTGGTTATATGTAATAGAAGTTTTAATCAATTCTTAACCTGTATTATCTTGGTGGCTCAGGAGGTGTTTTCTGCTGGTTCAGCATTTTAATCTAGTTCCATCTTATTTCTAGTCGTTCTTCTGGTTGTCACCTTGATAGATTTGATAAATAGATTATGAAGGGTTTTGCAGTCATACATACATTATTCTATACATGTGTGGCGCACTTTTTCCTTTGTGGTGATCTTCTTCTCCTTTGTTTATTTTGTGCCAATGCATGGTGCCTATTTGGTATTAAAATCCGATGTTTTTGGCTATACTTTGCCTCATTCATTTGATTTACTTCTGTTATACTTATACTTATCAGTTTTCTATGATTTACTTTCTTCTTCTCCTATTTATTGTTGATTGTTACTGTTCACGCGATTTGGTTGAACGATCTCCGCCAACTTGAAGTGCGCCGTGATAAGAAAAACGGGTGCCGGATCGGGTAGGACGTGAGTGAGTAAGAAACCGAATTTAGCGAATCGCACAATGTAGATTGTAGTCGTCTGGATTACAAATCCTGTTAACAAATAAGATTAAGTATTTGTGCCGAAGCGTCGGTTCGATGCTTAGACCGTAGCGGAACGAAGTGCGACGTTCGATAGAACGAGACAATGCGAGAATGTTGTTGCTTGCGTAGCGATCAGTTGGTAATGAATACAAGCGGTTTGTCGCCACGGTAAATATACTAGCGGGCTCCGAAAGGTCTGGAAACCAAAAGGTTCCAGAACTTTCGGAGCGCCTTTAAAATTAGAATGCGCGAAGGTTCTGAGTTCGCGAAAGTTCTGGACCGTTCGCTCAAACAGTTACTCTAACTTGGCTAAGTCTTGATTTTGATTCCATCTAGTTGATCTGAAATGGGTGAGAAGTTTTGAGGTTAATATTTGTTGATGATGATTATTAATGGGTTGGTTTGTTTCTTACCTGTAGGATTTTGTTAATGAATAATGCTTTTTTTGTTTTACTCTTGATAGTGGTGTTATGCAGTTTGCACTTTTGTCGCCGAGTTTAATCTAGCTAATGTTGACTGACATTTGTTATTTGCTGCTTGGCACCTTTTATTTCATTTCACACCATTGGTTGATTTTATAGTTTATTTAAATTCTTCCATTTTATCGGTTTTATTCGCAACGGTGCGATGATATTACGCGCTCAATATTCTTTGCAGTTCGCTGTCTGCTCCTTGATTTGACGTTTGGCGTTTGACGTTTTGCTGTTTGATTATTTGTCCACATTATGTCAGGTTCACATATATTTCTTATGTTTCTTATGTCTAGTTCACATATTTCTTATTATTTTGTCCTTCTTTTATTAACTGTTCTGTTTTACTCTGAATTATCAATTAATTTTAACTGGCCTTGTTTGACTTGAGTTAGATACATGTTTAGTTGTTTAATTAATCAAGGAATTGATTTTTTTGGAATACCAGTTCAAATTCTTCGCTCATGGTGTTGATAATGCAGCAACCAGAGGTTATTTTACAGTAGGTGGTTGGATTATTTTCATTGCCTTGGGGCCAAACAGTGTAGCTTGATGTACATTGATTATCGTCGATCATTAATCCCGACTTGAGATAGTGGTTATCATTGTTACGTGGCGCTGTATGTTCTATTCGCGATGATATGCAAGCTGGATCGACTGCTGATGGTAACCGCCAATGGTCGCCTAATATTGGCCTTTGAAGGTCTGCTTTAACTTTTATTATTGTTTTATTGTTATCATTGGTTTTACTTAATTTGCGCAATTATATTTTGTTGATAATTGACTTTGGTCACTGTCGTATTTGTTCTATTTATCCGGTGTCTGTATTTAATGTCTTATGCAGCGTCACGGTAGTATAATGTTTAATTATTTGCACAGTTAACTTATTGTTCTATCGTTCCATTTGATTTTATTCATCATGTTCTATTTTTGGCTGTATATTATGTCGGGTCCATATTCTTTCTGCTGGGCCCACCTTTTGTGTCCCTTGTCAAATGTCTGTTTATTTTGAGGTATTATTTTGAATAATTTCGATCCGTTTGATTGGTTCTATGTGAAACCCGCGCGATATTTGTTGTTCGAATTGATTTCAGTCATCGTTTTACTAGACCTTGTTTTGGCAATTGGCCTCCTGTTGGTATTGTATAATAATGTATTTACACAAATACGGTACTGCAATGTGCCTAGTTACTTACTTAATTATGTTTCTTGCTCTGGCTTATTCAATATACTTATTTTGGTATTTAGCTTGCGACGACAGCCGCGGATCGGGTCGCACATCGCGGGCCTTTGCCGCGGCGGCATCCCCACTCCCGTACGATTAGACTATAAGTAGGACCGATCAATGCGATGATCGATGAGTTGCCTCGGGGCTTCGGCCCATCCTCGACGCCATGGCTGACCTGGCGAAGAGATCTCTGGCCGTCGAGCCGTGGCATTGCACTACGTCACGACCTGGCAGTTCCCATCGGTCCAGCAGCCGTAGGCGCCTAGCCTCGTCATCTCCGTGGTTGACTTGGGGTGACCAAGCTAGTGCGTGTTCATAATCTCTGCCGGTACTTCCACGGGGATTCCGAACGCTAGCCTACTCAGCACCGCATTCTGCCTTTGGCAGCCGATTCCGTCCAATTTCGTGGCGCTACCCAGGCTGGCCAGGATTGGTCGTCGTCTCGTTCGCTGTTCGGTTCTCCCTCGGCGTACGAGAAGACGAGCCGCGTGAGGCAAGCGGGCAGCAACTCCACCGCAGCGCGAAACACCGCAGCGCGTTTGAATAAATACCGTCGGCCCAACCGGGCCAATCCTATCCCGCCTCTACCTCCTTTGCGTTTGCGTACGTTTGCGTTTGTTTGCGTTCGCGCTCCGTTCAGCGCTTTCACTCCGCGCTCCGACATCGCGCCGTTAGACCGCGTAGCGATGGCTACGACCTGCGCTAGAATTAAGGCCGCGTATTTTCTGTGACAGACCGGGTTCCGACCGTAGTTCATAAGTCCTGTACATTAGGCTTAAGTTTGGCTCCACGCGTCTAACCACCAGACGATACTTTGATTGTAGCTCCCGAGGCAGGAGAGCACCGCCGCCCGACCAACTCGGCGGGGATGGACACCCTGTACCACCTATAGTAGTCTACAGTAGTTTTGAATAAACAGATATATTTTTCCATATACACTGCCTCATTATTTACCGAACCCGTTCCCTTGCGAACCCTGGCACGGGGAAACCGACCGCGGTGCGCAACGCCGTGCGATTGGACGCTGTGCCGTTTGGACGTTGTGCCATTTAGACGCCGTATGTATTAAAATGATTGCTTTTGGGAGTCGGCAGATGGTGGTATTGTTCATCGATTCAAATTCCTATACTATTTGAATGCGTATGCATGCTGAAGTATATGATTACATATATGGTCAAAGATATTAAATTTGGAAGTGAATTTAATTTATATGTGGATTTTATGTTGAGAATTGTGCGAAACATTCTTATATTTTCTAACAAAATAGTGTAAGAAACGAGATGTCCAGTTTCTTGACAATCCGACTTAGCACGGTGTATAGCAGTGCTTGTTTCATAAAACAACTAAGGTTAGTAAATTATGTATATCGTTTGACAGGTATAGGTTAGAGTGAAAAATATTTGCAAATTTAATGCAGTTACTTTCTTACAAGATATATCTGGAAGTATGTTTGAGGTAAAGAAATCCCAACAAAAACATCCTGTAAATAGGAGCCAAGTGCTTATGGCCGTAAAAAGTTGTGAGATCAAACTAAATACGGCCAAGTTCATTAGCTTAGAAATAACGCTTGCAATACTGAAAAAAGCTTTTGTGAAAATTAGGTTAAAAGAACGCTATTTAATTTTTGAAGAGTTACATGGAGGGCTAAATTATTCAAACTTGGCCGTTACTTTTTAAACCAATGGCCATATAAGGTGTTAGGTAACGGCCAAGTTTGAATAATTTAGCCCTCCATTGTAACTGTTCAAAAATTAAATAGCGTTCTTTTAACCTAATTTTCACAAAAGCTTTTTTCAGTATTGCAAGCGTTATTTCTAAGCTAACGAACTTGGCCGTATTTAGTTTGATCTCACAACTTTTTACGACCATAAGAACTTGGCTCCTATTTACAGGATGTTTTTGTTGGGATTTCATCAATTTTTGTTGGGATTTCATGAATTATCAAGTAGGTATTACACTTATCTCTGACTCATTCAATCCTAAATATTTTTTACCTTTAAGGTAGATATTAAGTAAATTAATAAATGCATTTTTACAAAGAAAGTCAATTAATAAAACGTTGACAGACCATTCTAAATGATGATATAATTAGTTTTTTTTTTTTAACTATTTTTTCATCTCGGCTCCTGCGCAACAAATTTTCTAACAAATCAAATGGATGACATAATTAGTTTTTTTTTTTTAAACTATTTTTTCATCCCATTTTGGGCATAAAACCCGAAAATTGAATCCCCCATCTTCCCTTCAATTTTTTTTGTTATATATGTTATGCTGCTATGTTCCATCCTACGTACCTATTTCGTAATGCTTTTTTCAATACAACCCCTTTAAGGTGTAAAATTTCAAACTTTGATAATTATTCTTTTGAACGTACGTTATGGTGAACCTATGAACCAAATTTCAAGCTTCTAGCTCAAAGGGAAGTACCCAGAAGGTTTTGATCATCTATAAGTCAGTCAGTGACAAATTTAGCGATTTTTGAGGTCCTATATCTCGGAACCTACTAATGTTGAAAAGTTAGTTTTTTGTCAATGTTGAGACAAATTGCACCTATCCATCTGCCTTCAGTGCCGAGTTATAGGCCTCTAAAAAACGGCTAAGTTGTTTCGTGTAAGAGGAGGTAGTGCGAGAACTTGGCTGGTGCACTACCGTGCACCTAGATATTAAACCTTATTTTCTTCAATACATTCTTTATTCCAAATTGATGTTGTTGAGTACAATGTATGAATATATAATATATCTTTTTTTATAGTTTCAGCACCTGTTCAGACATTGATGCGGAAATTACAACCAAAGAATTATGGAGTAGAAAAGTTGAATAGAACCATTAAAGAAATTAACCAGCGTGGAATAAAATACTAGGACAAAGAACAAAATTTTTGTTATTAGTTGGTTTTTATAGTCCACGATTTGGAAGATAAACTTATCTACTTTAATAATCCTCTTCTTTGGATAATTTGTTCAATGTATCTATCAAATTCATCAACTCCATAATTTTTTGATTGTAAGTTCCTTATCAATGTCTGAATAAATGCTGGAAATAAAGTAAATCAAATCATATTATAATATATTGATACATTGTACTCAACAACATCAATTTGGAATAAAGAATGTATTAAAGAAAATAAGATATAATATTTCTTTTACCTTAAACATATTTCCAGATATATCGTGGAAGAAAGTAGTTGCATTCAATTTCCAGATATTTTTCAACCTAACATATACCTGTCAAATGTTACACATAACTATTTGACCTTAGTTATTTTATGAGACAAGCGTATTGTTCTTCTGTTTCATCCAATTAAGGTGATAAGAGCCGCTCAAATTAATTAGGGGCTGTGGAAATGGTAGATGTGAATAGATTTCACAGCGATAGCAATATACCTCTAATGCACAAAACTACTTACCAAATAATGTTAAATACATGTAACTTTTGATTTTGGCTGCAACCTATGTATTTATTGACAAGACTTTATTATATGCTCCTCTTACTGCGGTAAATAGATAGATATTACTTTGCAATGAGTATGCTACGCACCATGTCATGCCGCATTGTCAAACACTTATGCACTACTAATGAAACAAAAAAACTAGTACATTTGCATAATTAGGCAATATTATTGTATCTTTTGTCCAATTACATGCAATACGTGGATGAATGATCCTCTGGTATCTTAATAACCACCTTGTAAATATTCTTCTACTCTAACCTATACCTGTCAAACGATATACATAATTTACTAATCTTAGTTGTTTCATGAAACAAGCGTTACTACACACCGTGCTAAGTCGGATTGTCAAAAACTGGACATCTCGTTGGGTGAACTTTACTTTACTGAACCCAAAATTTTGTACTTTTTTTTTTGAATCTATAGTTTTTGATGCGGAGAATCCAAAAATGCAAGTCTCAACTTTAGGAATCCAATGGTTCAAAAGTTATAAGCATGTAAAATTTGATATTTTTAGCGCATTTGCTACGTTACTGTGACGCCATATTGGCTTCTTGTCCAATGAACGGGGTCGCTAGCTGCAGGCAGCAGGTGCCGACTACTTTAGCGGGGTTAGTCAAATCGTAAATTTGATACTGTCTCAGTTAGTTAGGTTTACATTTATCTTAAAGAGAGAGGGTACAATCCATGCATTTGCTTATTGCTTTTACTATATCAATTTTATGAGTAATTTAAATACAGCTAATGATGGAACCCACACTCCCAAAAATTTGGTATCCCCTAAAGTAATGTTTAACCTAAATATAAATCTAACTAACTCGGACAGTATCAAATTTAAAGTTTGACTAAACCCGCTAAAGTGGTCGGCACCCGCATGCGTCTGCCTGCAGCTAGCGACACCGTTCATTGGACAAGAAGCTAATATGACGTCACAGTAACGTAGCAAATGCACTAAAAGTGTCAAACTTTACACGCTCATAACTTTTTAACCATTGGATTCCTAAAGTTAAGACTTGCATTTTCGGATTCTACATATCAAAATCTATAGGTTAAAATAAAAAAGGTCCAAAATTTTGGATCCGGTAAAGTAAAGTTTACCCAGCATAGGAATTTGAATCGACGAACAATACCACCATCTGCCGACTCTCAAAAGCAACGATTTTAAAACATCCGGCGTCCAAACGGCACAGCGTCCAAAAGAAACGCGTCCAATCGGCCCAGCGTCCAATCGGGACGCCTCCAATCGGTCGACGTCCAAGTGGGACACCCCCGCTGCAGTTAGCTTATTATTTGTCCGGATTATTCCCAAGTAACGGGCAGTATATAAATAAACAAGTATATAAATAAAAAATTTCGAAAATCTGTTAATGCAAAAAATTGTTTTTCAAATATTTCAAATAAATTTGCAACGAAAACCAAATATTCTTGCGGCATAAAAATGCAGAACAGACCCCATAATGTACGGGGATACTGACGGCGGTATTGATACTTTTTGCAGTTCTGGCTTAGGCTTAAAGCAGCTCGCTCTTCTGCTCCTTCTATCATTATGCATAAGCGCCCGTTCAAATATAGTACATCAACGACCGTCCTTCTGATAATAGCTCATTCTGTCGTTTACTATCTTGCAATCACGGACCCCATACTGTACGGTGATATGGATGGCGGTATTACTACTGTTTGCAGTTCTGGCTTAAGCTTGAAGCAGCTCGCTCTTCTGCTCCTTCTATTATCGTACATAAGCGCCCATTTACATATGTCAGCGACTGTCCTTCTGAGGATAGCTCATTCTGATCTTTACGTTCCTGCAGTCGCTTTTCGATTTCTTTGTTCTATTTCCGACGTAAGTAAAACGTATCACGTAAAACTAAATAGATTTTATATTAATTCTGTTCCTGTCACTGCATCGAATATAAATCATGGACGATAATCTTCGAAATACCGCTCCCCGAGGCCGTCCGATTAGAACGCGTCGCCGGGGTACCATTATTGGTCGAAAGGAACGCCAGCGTAACTCGCAAATACAATCTCAGAGCCGCTCTGAAACACCTTCTCCACCTCCTAATCAATCAATGAGCTCCGCCTTGATGCGTGCTCCCGCTTCGCCTGCTCCGCAGCCACCAACCTCTCGCTCTTCTCGCGCTCCATCACCCACCCGTCGACGAAATTTACGTAACACAGCAGTGCCGGTTCCTCCACGCTCCGTCGGCCGACCAGTCATTTACGCCGATATAGACCCAGCGGGCGAGATTTTACCATACACTGGAAGGCGATGTTTTGGCCCACAGTGGTTACGCTCCACAGAAGAAGACGCACAAGGCAGACGCACGCCCGCCGGTATCGACGAACGCCGGCGTCGATTACAACGCGAGAAATAATATCGTTTGAAAGAACGCCAAGAAATCGTACGCCGCACAGTGGGACAAAATGGCTCTTGGCGATCAAAATTTTGTAACTTCGGTTCTATTGGAAATATTTTAATGAAATTTTGGGAAGTTTTTGTCTACATTATGATACTTAAGTTGTAATAATATAAATCATATTGAACTACAGGGTGTCAAGATATTCACGTATAAACTGTAGCGCGTTCAACATCCTGCATTTGTTAGACATATTTTATGTTATTTAACAAAAATTTGACTTAAAACTGTTAATAACTGGAAAGAGAAAGGAATATAATAATTAAAAAATGACAAGACATGTGTTATTATAATATATTTATTTATATTTATTATAATCTATACCAAATCATTCGTGAAAAACGTTTCGATAATTATGAAAATTTATTATGGCATATTGCAAGGACGAAATAAAGTTTTGAATGACGAATATACACGTTGGAATGATTAAAAGTAATAGTTAATAAGGCAGTTAACTGGTTAATAATCGTATCTGTTACTGCTTTTCCATCTTCGCGCCCAGCAGCCAAGATGGGTGTAATTTCATTCAATCGCCATTTTCTTGAAAAGGTGCAAAAAAGTGCACCTAATTTTTTCAGATTCTGATAGAGGAAGGTTCACTCTTTCCTAAATAAATAGGATAAAGGAGAAAAACGAGGCGATTAATAAAATAAAGAACGAAGAACGAGATAAGACTAAGGAAAAATGGCAGGAGGAGTGGAATATGCTAACTAAAGGAAGGTGGACCTACAGATTAATTCCAAACATAGAGGAGTGGACCGAGAACGGGATACCAACTATAGATTTCCATTCAATACAGGCACTAACAGGGAATGGCTGTTTTGGTGCTTACCTAAATAAAATAGGTAAAGAGAGGTCGCCGAAGTGTTGCTTCTGTGATGACCCGAACGATGATCCGGAGCATACACTCTTCAACTGCCCTAGATGGGAATCAGAAAGACAAGAGTAGGTAAATAATATACACCCAGAAAATTGGAATGTGCAAAACTTTAGTAAGCTATTGAAAAACAAAAATATGAATGGTTTTGTGAGAAATTTCCTTGGAAACTGTCTGAAAGCAAAAGGAAAATGGGAAAGGGTACACCGGTTAAAAGAAAGAAAAAAGGATAAGGAAAATAATGCCTAAATGATAAATGCGTACCTGAAACATCAAATATATTTGTAGTTCTGGTCCCACATCAATCACTAATAATCCAGTAAAATTGGCAAGAGAGAATCAGCCTGAATCCTCAATGGGAAGTTTATCTACAGAAATAAATGAAATAGGAAATTTCTAAGTGAATAAAAAGAGTAAGAATAAGGTGTAATGACATGTAAACTGTATATATATGTGTTGTGTATATAAAGAAATCTAAGCGGAGGGCCCATACCCGAACAAACCTGTAGGATATCCACGATACGAAAGGGTAGTTTAAAACAATGTATAATATTCCATTTTCGCCTTACGGATTGGTACTGCACGATGGTCTAGGAGTTGCCTCTTGAGTATACGTAGGTCGATTACCCCAAAAAGAAATGCTAATTAGATGTAGAATTATATAAGGAATGGAAACAAAATTTGAATCAGTTCCTCCGCTGACCAGGATACTGGAATGGCTTCATCTAATACGGGTTAGTGGAGGCTGTTATCTATACTAAATAGAACTATGGATATTATACTGGGTTTCGCCAACCGGATAAGGTTACTTATTTAGTTGCTATACGTAGCTATTTATTTTATTTATGAAACAGACCGCGAGGCCAAGGATAGTGTCTATACTAAAGTATTTATTTATTTATTTAATGTTTAGCTAATTACAAAAGGCTTATATTTACCGTATAATTGGTGATATAAGAAAAGATAGTACGTGTAAAGTGAGCACGAATGCTGATACCGAGGGAATAATTTCCTAGGCATAAGAGAGGTATATTAGTAAGACAAGAGACAGCGTAGACTGTGATAGACCTCATGGTAAATATGAAGGTACTTAAAGATCTGCTTGCTTGGTTGTCTGGGTAGTGGGATGAGCACGATTGATCTGGAGGCCGGTGGCCTGTTGGCTACGTGATTTCGTAGATGCACGAAGATGAATAACCTATACAGTGAGTTAATGGTACACAGCGGTAAATGACAAGAGAGAATCTAAAGTAGGAAAGGAAAAGGAGATATGGCATGATGATATTCAGAGGTAGTGTATAGAATGCGAAGATTTAGCACCAACTACAAAAACACGCCAATAAACACACTTAAACTTATAACCCACTATATGAACTGGTTATATTTATCTTAAAGGAGGTGTGATATATATATTTATATTATTTTATGTAGTAGCTAAGGAAGCGAAGCGAAATAGATACATACATGACAAACAGCGATGAGCTGTAATGGCGTCTGGCGTCGACCATAGACTACGGGTAATAGAGATGGGTAACGTGCATTGTGGTTTATGACGGTAACCAGACCTGAGTAAAGTATTTTCTAGAGGGTATGATGAATATGAAATAATAAAGGGAAACTAGGGACTCTAAATAGGTAGGGCCTTTAGAGTTGATAAATTTCCAGGGAACCTGCGGTGTTCTGCTCGGTGGTGATGACTGAGTACTGAAAGTGGGGAAACATATAGGATAATTAATTAAAATCGCTGATTACGAATACGAGGTAATCGAATAAGGGGGGACAAACAGGTGGCCGAAGTAATGCCCACAGGCGGTTCCGGTTTGCCTGGTCTCCGGCAGACAGACATAGGGTAAGTACGAGGGGTGTGGCTTTTATTGGGTATCAGGAGTCCCACACTACCGGGCTGGTACTTCCCGCCCGGTGTTTTAAAGCATTTTCCACTCCCTCGCCGAAAAAAAAGGTTCACTCTTTCCTGCAGTAATAATTAAACATGTGGCAAGTTGTGGCACTTTTTTAAAATCAAACTCAAAGTTGAGATTTTAGTTAAATATACTTCGTTTCAATCAGATCCTATTATTTAAAAAGTTGTTAACATTTTAACTTACTTTATGCACTGAATAGAATCTATACTATCCTAGTAAACTTTATCATTCATTTGAATTGTATCTTTCCGAGTAAAATTCAGTAGAATCGTACATTGAAGTTACCAGTAGTATTATCAGCGTTTCGTTTTGATGAATTTCTACTGACTTTGAGTGCGAACCACGGCAAAACGGAAACAAATATGAAAAAACGGATTACACTACGTTAAACTACAGTTTATTCTCTATCGATGTATGTAATTTGTTTTTCAATTTTCGAATTCACGAAAATCGAATTTTGATCGCCGAAAGCCGTTTTGTCCCACTGTGCGCCGTACCGAAGCAGCTATGGCCACGAAACCATTTACTGATGCCTACTATTACAACATTGGGGCGATGAATGCCATTTGTTTCCACTGCATGGCGAAACACTTTGAATCCGAGCGTACCGGATTCTTGCTGCTCTGATGGAAAGGTCGCATTTACCCTTCGGCCGATCCACCCGTACCTCCGTGAGGTCTTCACTAATCCAGCTCACTGTGATTTCAAATATTTTCAGGGTAATAGTCGCTACCTCAACTCTGCCTTTGGCTTCTGCTCTCTTGAATTTAAAATTGATCACTCTCTGTCTGGCGCTTACTATCTCATTGGTAGAGGAGAAATCTTTCATTGCATTGGCCCGTTGCACCAAGAAGACATTCCACGTACGACTGCAACGATGCCGTATGCCTCGGCCTTTTGTGACTTTGAAACAGCCACAAAACTCCGCTATGAGGCCACTAAATTGGACCCTCGCATATTGAATAAAATTCGTGTTATCAGTACCTTCACGCGTACGAGAAAGAACAGGAGTTGATTCGTTGCAGACATCCACGACCTACAGTGCACATACAGTTGTTGCCTGGCTCTGCTGGCGCCGGTATACACGTTGGACGTACCAACCTTCCAACTATACGCGACGATGTTGCGGTCTTATACGGTGACCATGATGGTCTTCCTCGCCAGCAGCATCAACTTATAATTCAAAACCGTGCCAGTCCTAACGCCGAACCTCTACAGATCGTCAAGATCGTTAATCCGCTTCTTGACGCCATGCTCTACCCTCTTCTTGATCCATATTCCGTAATCGGATGGCACACCGGCATACCTCATGCGATCGAAAACAACACCCGGAAACACGTTACCATTCGTGAGCACGCCGCTTATCAGATGGCCATTCGCGACAACCAGGAATACTTGCAGGACTCTGGCAAATTGTCTCAACAATGGTTGGTCGACATGGCTATCCGTGTTCAAAAAGATAAGCTATTAATGGTTACAGGACAATCAAAGTGCCCTGCGTCGAGACACCTTGCAGAACATCGGCGACTTCAACAACCCCGCTTGCAGAAATGTTCTGTCGGACGACCAACCTGTCGCCACCAATCCTGAGACCAGTCTACCAGTCTTGCTGCCGTCCACCTTCATCGGCGGACCCCGTCATGCAATGAATACTATGCACGATATGTTGGCCATGTCCATGCAACTTGGTGCTGCGACATTCTTTGTAACAGTTACGGCCAACCCTGCTTGGCCCGAGATCGAGGCCAGTCTCAATCCAGGAAACAAACGCGATTTAAGGCCTGATATCGGCAACCGTGTTTTCCACTGTAAACAAAACCACTTCAAGGATTTGGTAACCAAAGAGGCCTTCTTCGGCAATATCCGCTACTCTGGCTACTCTGTCGAGATGCAAAAGCGGCAGATCCCTCATTCTCATTGGATCATCGCCGTTGAGCAACCGCACAACTCGCGGGATCCCGAATATATCGATCTGATCATTTGCACCGAAATACCAGACCCAGAGGTGGACCCTGAGTTGTATGAAATCGTCTGTAATAACTACCTTCATCTTTGCACCGAAATCTGTTCGCCTGGCGGCGGTTTTACATGTAAAACGAATTTTCCGAAGGCCTTCCAAAATCATACTCAGGTGCAATTAAACGGCTATCCTCTCTACCGCTGGCGAGACAACGGCCGACACGTTATGAAGAGGCGCGGTCAGATACCAGTTCGCTTGGACAACCGTCACGTCGTGCCGTACAATCCTTACTTGGCCAAGATGTTCGGTTGCCACATTAATGTAGAGCACCTTTCCGCCATTCGCGTCATTAAATATATATTTAATTACATAAATAAAAGCCACGATGTCGCGCACATTGCCGAGATTATTAGCTCCGAGGCCGCCAATGAGATTAGGAGGTTCCGTACGTTACGGTTGGTTCATCCGAGGCCCACTGGCATCTTATGAAGTACAACATGTACAGTCTTTCACACGTCGTAGAGCGTCTTACAGTGCACACAAAGAACGACCTTATGGTGTACTTTGCTGATGGTCAAGCAGGTCCCGCGGCCCAGATGGCAGCCAACCGTGACACTCAGCTTACGGCATTGTTTAAGTTCAACGCAATTAATCCGGTCGCTCGCAACTATCTATACCGTGACATCCCCAAAGGCTTTGTTCGGAATAGACAGACAAAAACCTGAACCGCCGGTGTTCGTCAAACGCGTCGAATTGGCCGCATCTTCCAAGTGCCACCGACAAACCCAGAATTGGTTGCCACTCGCCTCTTGCTTCACCATGTCAAGGGCCCTCGCATCTGGGAGGAGCTCTTCACTTAGTAGTGGTACTGCCTTCGAAGAAACGTTAGACGAAGTCGCGCAATGTCAACATCCACGGGCTTTTCGTATTCTGTTCGGCCAACTACTTGCCCTGACCCGTCCATCCAACGGCGGCCTAATGTGGGAATGTCACAAGGAAGAACTCACACATCACCGCATCCGTGTCTACAGTACCGACGACAATCTCCGTTTCGCACATGGTCTACGTGACATACGGTTGATTGCCGAGGCCAGTATGGTAGATTGGACCAACTTAAACTTTCCCGAACCACCAGTCTCCGCATTCGGGCAATTGCGTCCCTTCGACAAGTACGTTATACCGAACGAAGAAAACGTTGGTCGTCTGAATGCAGGACAACTCAGTGCGTACAATGCCATCATCGCCACATTCAATCCGTCGTACGCAGGCCCTACCTGCTTCTTCCTTGATGGCCTGGGTGGTACGGGTAAAACGTTTCTGTACAAGGCCCTCATACAGTATTTTCGGAATAACGGGCACGTCGTCGTCCCTTCTGCATGGACCGGAATCGCGGCCCTTCTCTTGCCTGGAGGCCATACCTCACACTTCTTTTTCAAATTCCCCGTTCCCCTCATGGAAGACAGCAACTGCGGTCTTTGCCGTGCCAGCGTCGGAGGCCGACGTTTGATCGACGCTAAGTTAATTATCATGGATGAAGCGTCCATCTGTGAATGGCGAGCGCTTATGGCTATGGACCGTATTCTTAGGGACTTAACTGAAGTCCGTCACCGGCCATTCGGTGGTAAAATACTTTTGCTCGGCGGTGACTTCCGACAATGCGCGCCTGTAATTCCTAACGCTCCTGCTGGCTCAAACAACGCCGAGTCCATTCGCAGTAGCAATCTTTGGTCGGAGTTCAAACTTCTTCAGCTGACGCAGAACATGCGTGTCGGACCCGGAGAACAAGATTTTACCGAGTACCTGCTCACTATCGGCAGTGGTTCCGTTAACGTTCCTGACACTGAGATCATGAGCATTCCTGACGACATACTGTTTCACGGATCGCCTCAGGACCTCATTCACTGGGTGTATGAAAATAACCTTGCTCAGCCGAACCCCAATCACGCCTTACTCTGCCCTCGCAACGATCACTGCGACTACATCTATAATCTAATACTAGATTCACTTGAAGGAGATCAACGCGTTTACTTCTCCGAGGATAAACTAATAAATCCATCAGCCGAAGCAATTGCAGACTATCCGCCCGAACTCCTGAACCACGTCGAAGTGGCTGGCCTGCCCCCGCATCAACTTCGCCTCCGTGTCGATGCCACTGTCATACTTATACTTAATATGTTACCAGTAGATGGATTGGTAAACAGGACCCGCCTACGCATAACCTCTCTTAATCACCGGTACTCATAATGGTCAAGATATAATAATTTCCCGTGTAAAACTAATTCCAAGCAACAGCACCTTGGGCGTCACCTTCAGCCGTGACCAGTTCCCGCTTAAAGTAGCCTTTGCGATGACAATAAATAAGTCTCAAGGCCAGACACTTCAGCGCGTCGGCATCTACCTCAAGGACTCTGTCTTCGATCACGGTCAGTTATACGTTGCCACGAGCCGTGTAACTTTACGCGCACAGCTTCGTATCCTTATCGGCCACCCAGTTTATCCAACTCATCCTGACTCATCGCATATCAAAAATATTGTCTACAACCAATTACTTAGTGATGAATAACTTACTTTTTCTGACTTAGCCGTTTTTTTTTTTTTATATAATTGCGTGCACTTCTTTTTACCAATGCTGCCCGTTTAACTTGCACATAACAAACTGGACATGACCATACTTCTGTTACGTCCCTAGTTATAACCCATTTTCGTCTTTCGCCATTCCAAGGAGGTCTTGCTCTGGAATCCGCGAAACATCAGCGTTTTCTCGTTTAGCGACGCCCGCGATACGAAATCGGGGAACTCGCGAAATGCGATGGCGAAAACCCTTTGCTTGCAGGTTTTCGCAAGCAAGCAGCGTGACCTACTCCCCTTTTGGGAGTATAAGTTATCGGCGCAACGCAAGTACGCCAGTTCCGTGATAGCGTATAGCAGAGACCGAAGTTCTGTCCGTTCGTGACCCGCAGTAGACCTGCGTGTAAGGCTACTCGAAACCAGGAAGATCATCGACGACGTGTTCGGCCGACGGTTCAACACGAGTGTATCGCCGTGGTCTGAGATAATAGACCCATAATTGGACCAAGTCCAGGAGTGCACCCGTGTGCTGTGCAGGACCACCACCAACCGCTTGTATCTCCAAGGTCGAGTCGTAGCCACGCGCCGCGAGTCTAGTGTACCGTCCGAAACGCGAAATAAGTGTAAAACAAGGCCTCTAGTGTGAATGACCAGCGAGTGATACGAGAACGTACGAGCGACATACAACACAGAGACAGAATATATATATATATATATATTGAAGACCCATCTACAATTACTGAACGCCCCATCCTGTATCCTATACTACCCGCGAGGAAGGTGAAGGTACGCCTTAGCGTTTTAATCGGCAGAACCCAAGGAACATAGTAACAGTAAAATAACCACCCTTAAGGTGGGACGTAACACTTCTTTCTCGATCAACTTCTTCTTCAAACTTAAACCTCAGCTTACTGTTCAAGCTAACCGTGATCGGAGGGGAAGCACCAGATCTTTCTGCAAAATACACTAGCAAAGACCACCGGCTATAGTAACCGCTGTACCAGTACACGCAGTGACTGCCGGGTCACTAGTAACTATGACTCTTTTAAGGTAGCCAAACTGTCCCGATCTACTTTCTATCGAAACCACTGCCAAGGGAACGGGCTTGGAAAGAAGACCCTGGTGAGCTTGACTCTAGTCTGGCATTGTAAGGAGACATGAGAGGTGTAGCATAAGTGGGAGATTTTATATCGCCGGTGAAATACCACTACTTTCATAGTTTCTTTACTTACTCGGTTAGGCGGAGCGCGTGCACCATGGTTTCGATCCGGTTGTCACGGAATTCTAGAACCAAGCGTACAAGAGTGGTGTGAGGCCTTGCGCGGATCGCCGATAATACTCCGGCGTGATCCGATTCAAGGAACTGCCAGGCCGGAAGTTTGACAGAGGCGGTACATCTGTCAAAGAATGACGCAGGTGTCCTAAGGCCAGCTCAGCGAGGACAGAAACCTCGCGTAGAGCAAAAGGGCAAAAGCTGGCTTGATCTCGATGTTCAGTACGCATAGAGACTGCGAAAGCACGGCCTATCCATCATTTTGGCTTGAAGAGTTTTCAGCAAGAGGTGTCAGAAAAGTTATCACAGGGATAACTCACTTGTGGCGGCCAAGCGTTCATAGCGACGTCGCTTTTTGATCCTTCGATGTCGGCTCTTCCTATCATTGCGAAGCAGAATTCGCCAAGCGTCGAATTGTTCACCCGCCAACAGGGAACGTGAGCTGGGTTTAGACCGTCGTGAGACAGGTTAGTTTTACCATACTGATGACTAGTCGTTGCGATAGTAATCCTGCTCAGTACGAGAGGAACCGCAGGTTCGGACATTTGGTTCACGCACTCGGTCAAGCGGCCGGTGGAGCGAAGCTACCATCCGTGGGATTATGCCTGAACGCCTCTAAGGCCGTATCCTTTCTAGACAAAGGTGGCAACGATATTTCTAGGAGTCTCGTGTGGGTCGAAAGGCTCAAAACAATGTGACACTACTAGGTGGCCGGCCCTCGTGACCGGTCATCGCACGGACCCCAGTTTGCCGTACGGGCGTCATCGGATTCGTCATCGGGATCTCGCCGAACGACGGCCGCGACGCTCTAACGGTCGATCATGGGTACTCCAAGTTCGACGTCGAGACTCGGATCGTCTGTAGACGACTTAGGTACCTGGCGGGGTGTTGTACTCGGTAGAGCAGTTACCAAGCTGCGATCTGTTGAGACTCAGCCCTATGCTTGGGGATTCGTCTTGTCGGTTAGACGAGGCCCCAGAGAGCAAGAGAGAGTAAAATGCGCACCGAGTGGAACGAGTGCGTATACGGAATACGGGAAGAGATTTTGAAAAGAAAGAGAATAATAGAGATCCTTACTAATATATAAAAGTGAAAATGCTGATGGTTTGTCCTTCCTTCACGTTTAAACGGCTAAACGGATTTTAGTGAAATTTGCACTGCTGGTCAGCTTATTCTTTCAAGATGGACATGGGCTATGTCATATTGCGATTCGTTATGGTTTTCACTAACAAAGAAGTATTAAAGAATTGGTTTGGTAATACTCAGCATTGCAACTTAGACCCCATCAGTATTCTACACTCATAATATACATTTATCAGTTTTTTGTTTTTTTTTTGGCATTCGTTTTCTTATTCATGTCGTATTAGATGACAAAGAAATATTTGTTGTCACGTCCTGTGACGCATTCTTTAAACTTCTATTGCACTATCCAAATTCATCGTTCCGCAAATTCTGAGTGAGCAACTCAGCCGGGTTGTCATACGGCGAGAACGCTGACGATCCGAACGAGGTGGTTCACCCGAATTGCCAAATCAAAAATGTTGACCTCGTTCATTAATATAAAATAACGCGACCAGGCCCGCCCGCGCGCAGTTCTTATCAGTATATCAGAAACGGTTCATCAATTTATCAATATAGTGCGAAACCGAAAGTATCGCGACCAAACCCGATCACTCCAACAAATCCGTAAATCGTAAAATCCGCGAAGATAATCCGCGAAGTACCGCTCAGAGTTCGATACTCTAGAATCTACACGACTCTGCCACGAAACTCAGGACTTCGACAGAGCAAGATTTCGGTAATATCAATAAATTAATCAAGTCTAGCGTATATGACTCTGCTACGAAGCTCAGGGCTCCGACAGAGCAAGATTCTGTAAGACTCAATTGTAAAACGCGCGCGAAGGTAAGTGAGAACCAGAAGGTAAGTGAGTAAATAGGTTCTACTCACCCAGCGAAAGGTAAGTGAGAACCTCTATCTACCTGACACCGCAGATTAAATTACATAAAGTACGCCGAGGACTCAGTGAGAGAGAAGACCTCGCGACTTTAAAAAAAAATGCGCCTTGCATTTAATAGTATTTCTGTTTGTATTAAAGTGTGTGATCGTCACCTTCCAATTAATTTGCTACATCAATCGCGGCAGGGATCACAGGCTGCGATCTGTATAAATACGCGAGAATTCGTAATCATTCCTATATTTTATGAGTGTAGCATACTGAGAAGGCTTGATGGCAATGCCGAGTATTACCAAACCAATTCTTGAATGCTTCTTTGTTAGTCAAAAACATAACAAATCGCAATATGACATAGCCTATGTCCATCTTGAAAGAATAAGGTATCCAGTAGTGCAAATTTCATTAAAATCCGTTTTGCCATTTAAACGTGAAGAGGCACAAACGATCAGACATTTTCACTTTTATATATTAGTAGGGATAGGGACAGGGAAGTAGGGATAGGAATAAGGAAGTAGGGATAATAATAATTGATTAAAATTCCCGGGCAGAGCCGGGTAACGCAGCTAGTATATTATAAATCATATATACGAATCTCGAAGAAATTGTGAAATTGGTAAAGGTTGGATGTTATATTTCCGGCTTTCTGGCATTGCTCATTTTTTTTTTTAAAGTACGAATAGAAACGCAATACGCGGCTGGAACTTTGAAATAATTCATGGCGAAAAGAACACGATCGCGTGGAATACTAATATACAATCTAACCACACCAGCACGCGCAAATAGATCACGAATACAAGATTATTGTAATGAAATTATGTGAAATGCAAAAATATGTATTTTAATATTTTCGTCTCATCGATTCTGTACGGTTACTACATTTCCAAAAATATGAATAAAACCCATGATCTACATTGATCGTGATGAAAATGTTTTTTTTTGGGAGACGTGTACGCTCCTTTTCATAAAGGAGACTATCTTATTGTGAAATTCGAAATCGCACGCTCTCACGGCGATTTGCCGCCGCATAAGCCTGGGCGTAAGCCCGTGCGTCGCCGACCTAGCGGCCTGCCGTTCGGTATTTAGAGGGAGGCACTTTGAAAGCAACATGCCGTTGGAACTTTGAAAAATTTTGCACCATCGCTAAAGTTCGTTCTTTTGGCCAAGTACGACGAGAACGTTTATTTCTATCATTACGGCCGTTCATTTAACAGCGTTTTGCGGTAGAATAACCGTACAGAATGTAAAAAAGCAATTGCTAAAATTTTCGTCTCATCGGTTCTAAGAGGCAAAAGCAATACGCCGCTGGAACTTGGAAAAATTTCGTAGCGTCACTAAAGTTCGATCTTTTGGCTAAATAGAACGAAAATGTTCATTTATATCATTACGGACGTTAAT